CCAAAACTCAATAAAATCAAAGTAAAAAGGTCATATTCGGACTCAGCGTGAAATTCTCTATCCGAATATGTGTATTAAAAGCGGAAATAAGATGTTGCTCCTCCTTTGAATTAGCGGCGCCTTACGTTCCCACCGACGAAAAGGCGCTCTTTTTGAAGTCGTGAATTTTTGTTTTTCAAGTGATTAGTGATGAAAAAAAAAGAGAAAAGACTTAATTAGCGGACGAAGCAAAACGAACAGAAAACTGTAACAAATAAAAACAATGTCTCGATTCTTCAATCATGGTTGAAATTGAGAAAAAGTGGTGTATAAATAAGAACATTATCCAGCTCAATAATGATGCATTTTCTCATCGAAACTTTCACGGAGAAAAGTCGACAAGAGTTTTTTTTTGGTAGCGGTACAACAGCGAAAAATAAGTTGACAGTTTTTGTTAGAATATTCGAATAAATAGTGGAATGCGCATAGTGAAAAAATTTTGCTGCTGCATCTTCATGAACAATTTCTCCGAAACAAAAAGTACCATGCTGGCAGTCAACAAAACAAATAGCATGACAAAAGCTCTATCTCTGTCAGAGGGACCAGTATGAGTGAGACTTGAGGATATCTCAGCAGTATAGTTGTTAGAATTTCCACTACGTGTGTAAGACAAGGAATGAAATAAAATATTTTTTATTCTAAGTCGACGAAATAGTTTCAACTGACAAGTGCACATTTGAAACTGAGCAATTTGTTGTTCTAAAAAGTCGTCAGCAAAAACATCAAGAAGTTGAACAGCAAACGAATCGGGCGAAGTAAAAAGAGTATCATCAACAGACGAAAGATAACAATCTATATCATGATAAAGATTCAATTGATTCAATTGATTACCTATAAGATGGGTATGTACCGATAAGATGGGTATATACCTATAAGACAGGTACATCCCACATGGTATCTTAACTGATAATATGGAGTAATTAATTAATTTATGACAAAAATTCCTATGAATTTTCTATGAACTTTCGTCATAAAAATTTCTTATGACGAAAGTTCCAATGAACTCATCGAATTCTCCTATGACGAAAGTTCATACCAAACTCTTGTGTATGACGAAAGTTCCGGATACCCTTGTGATAATGACACACAGTACTACATAGATAATACCTTAACTCTTCTTTTCCATATCTTTAATGACTGGACCCACCTTTTTAGATGTTCTGATCAGCTCACTTTGTAAAGATTTTCAAGGGCTATCCAATGGTATGTTTCGCAAAATACATAATTTTTCATTATGGCAGAAAACTTATCAAAGGAGTGTCTAAAGCACTTAGACGGTTGAAAATCATTATATCGGGCACGTATTTCAACTGTTCGTCCATGTGGGCATATTTTTCAAAGACTTATTAATACGCAGTTTTGTAGCCCGTGAAATTCTATCTCGAATGATATATAAAGTGGCGTGGTTAACGATAAACTGGTTGGACAATATAAGCGGTAAACACTGCTGACCTATGGATTTGTGGAGGCGGGGCTAGTATTTCTCGTGTTAGGACACTCACGCCCCATTTGCTCGCAATATTATATATATCATTTTGTAGTCCGCGAAGTTCTCTCTCGAATGATATATAAAGTGGCGTGGGTAACGTCAGATTGGTGAATATGAGCTTGATCTGAGAGGGGGGCCGATTTTGCCTCTTATCGACCCCCGTCCTTTATATATTGTTAGAAAAAAAAGTTAAAGATAACATCATTTAATATCATCTGTCTATAACCTTCAACTTCAAGCTAATTGCACGCATAAAAACTACAGCATAATTTCTATACTCTTCTCTCGTCGTGCTAATTCTCTGAGGACGATGTATTGTGTACCGATTCAGTTCCAATAAAAGTAAAGGTAGACTAACATAATGATTCAGTGGAATAAACAAGATAAACATACATATACTTCGCTGTGTAAATCACTTCTGACTCTTAACGGTACCCCTCCGGGGGTATATGTTGAAGATAATCACACTCAATTTATTAGCTAGTGTCAAACGCAGTACAAGAATTTCAAATATTGTATTCTCAAAATGTCAGACTGTTAAAATGGCAGACTCTTATACGTTTGCATGTCAATTTCGCGTATTTCAGAATGAACAGATAATTTGAAATAAATATTTTATTAAACTAGAAAAACTCTTTGTATCTGTGAAACAAAATAAGAAAGAAAACTTTGTATCTATCTTGAAATGTAAAGTCTTTCGTATCGATGATTGCTTTTCTGTTTTATTTCATTAGTATCTGTAGATTGCTTAGTTTTTTTTCAATAACTTTGATCTCATCTTTAAGTATTTCGATCATTTTTGTATCGTCAAGTCCGAGAAATTTTATAGTGAGCTCATAGCGCTCACGAGCAATACCGATGTTGTTGTTGTTTTCGGTACTGTTGGCCGCTTCATTGTTCAGCTTTCCTTCGTATTCTCTGAGAAGGTCTTGATGTAATGTCAATGCCATATTGAAATGTTCGTGTGCTAAACCATATTCCTTTAATTTTGCTTCAATATCAGCTAACTTCTCCGTAGTTCGTGAGAGGTCTCGTCTACCATCTTTGCCCGATTCTTCATACAACTCTTTAGCTGTTGTTAAATGTAATTTAACCAAATCATGTTGATCTAATAAAACATAGCTTTTAGCTAGTCTAATACTGGAAATGATCAAGCTTACTGGGGGCATTCACTGATTGATAGTCCAACATGGCAAGGTATCATTAAATATTGGATTGAACCATTCGAAAAGAATCCATACAATTCCAGCACTGGAAAAGAATATCAACCATGGGCAAATGCCGATTGTATCTATTTTGATAAAGCTAGCCTTTTGACGGCACCTAGGTATGCACCAGTTACAGTTTTTTACCAGTTAACTGTAACTGTGAAAACTGTAACTGTCATAACTGTGTAACTGTTATAACTGTAACTGTCATAACTGTGTAACTGTTATAACTGTAACTGTCATAACTGTGTAACTGTTATAACTGTAACTGTTATAACTGTAACTGTCATAACTGTGTAACTGTTATAACTGTAACTGTCATAACTGTGTAACTGTTATAACTGTAACTGTCATAACTGTAGACAAATATTCTAGAGTGAATTAGTCTTCTACGATTTGCATACATTTTAAGGATGTCTCTGTTCTTAAAATGTCTCCAAATCGTAGAAGACTAATTCACTCTAGAATATTTGTCTACAGTTATGAGCAGTTACAGTTTTACAGTTATACAGTTACGACAGTTACAGTTATAACAGTTACACAGTTATGACGGTTACAGTTTTACACTTAACTGTAACTGGTGCATGCCTAACGACACCACAATATGTTGACAGTAACGCGTCTTCAACAGGTCTCGATCCATATGTAAGTGAGCAGAGATTTTTCAAATACTTCATTTCCTTGTATCTGAAATTATTTTTAGGGTCTTGACTACTTGTATTGTTCATCTGCTCAACAACAACGAGAAATGTTGTGGTACTTTTAACATCGAGGAAACGCCATGAATAATGATAGTGATGTCGTGTTCCGACCCAGTATCAATTCGTACACGAGTGTCGATCTAAGCTCATCGAAAGTACAAAAAGCTCTTCATGTTCAATCATCAAAAATTCCGCCGTATGGAACACGAACGGATAAGCCGAGCGGTTGGTATGCTTGTTCGGCGATGGTTGGCCAAAATTACAATTCTACGAATTACTATATCGATATCACACCGATGCATACATATTTGATCAGCGAGCTTTCAAAAACTAAAAATTCTAGTTTTCAGTGGTGACGACGATGGTGTTTGCGCGACTGTAGGAAGTCAATATTGGATGTATGAAATGAATCTAACTGTTACGTCTGCATTCCAGCTGTGGTGTGACTACTTTGAGCCTGATCAATTTGGCGGTTATTTTGTTAAATTCAAAGGCATAGCATTAGCTACAATACACGGGGCTGGACATGAAGTTGCTTATTACACACCTCAGCGAGCTTATGGATTTTTCAAATATGTATTAGACGGAAAATTTTGGCCGTAGATTTAACCCTTTGGCTCCGGGCGACACATAAATGCGTCTAGCTGCAATTATTGCATGATCATAATAGCTAGAATAAATTTGAAAAAAGATTTGAATAGCTGAAAGAATTTCCGATCTCAGGTGGTGTAT